ACCTCTGAAGGTGGGATGGGTAAATTGGGATTATGGAGGTGCATCTGCACCTCTGAAAGTGGGATGGGTAAATTGGGATTATGGAGGTGCATTTACACCTCTGAAAGTGGGATGGGTAAATTGGGATTATGGAGATGCATCTGCACCTCTGAAGGTGGAACGGGTAAATTGGGGTTTTGGAGGTGCATCTGCACCTCTGGAGGTGGGATGGGTAAATTGGGATTATGGAGGTGCATTTACACCTCTGTAAGTGGCATGGGTAAATTGGGGTTATGGAGGTGCATTTGCACCTCTGAAAGTGGGATGGGTAAATTGGGGGGCTACAGCATCTACACCTCCAATACACTAAAGAATGCAACATTCACCTGAATTTTTCTTACAATAATTTGGATTGGAAGGGATTTCTAAAGGTCTACTCCACCTTCCCAGGGCAGGGATGTCTGTAACTAGACAGCCTGATCTTGAATATTTCCTGGGATGGGGCATCCATCAAATCTCTGGGCAGCCTGGTCCAGTACTCACCACCCTCATCCAAAAAAATTTCTTTGTTATGTCTTAATCTAAGCCAATCTTTTTTTAATTTAAAACCATCATTCCTTGTCTTATCCCAAAAGGCCCTTCTAAAAAGCGTCCCCATCTTCCTTAAAAGTCCCCTTTAAACACTGAAATGTCACACTGAGATCACCCCAGAACCTCCTTTTCTCCAGGCTGAACACCTCCAAGTTTTTAACCGAGCRGAGCAAACGAGACAGATCTCAGGGGAGTCCAATTAATCCCCTTCCTCCTTCTGCCTCAATCCTTTCTCCCCGTATTCCCTCAGTCAGGAGCAAGCATTCCTTCTGCTCAGGGATGTTCCTAAGGACAAGGCCAGCTGGCTCGTGCTGAARTGCAGGCTCAGGAGCAGCCAGCAAGGCAAACCCATCAGCAGGCTCCACCTGCTCCCCTCTGCCAGCGCTTACGGGATTTCACATCCAAGGTCTCAGCTCCTCAGCCACGTTTTGCTGTTTCAGGTTTGAGGCTGAGCCCTCTCTGCTCCTTCAGCCGCTGCCTGATGCACTCACCAACCTTGCATTTCCTCTCCCCACCTCACCTCCACTCCTGAAATTAAAAAGAGTTCAACCGAGGGCCGGTTATGAAACGCCGCAGTGATCGATGTGAGCCTTGGGCTTAGGGAAGCCTGGGCAGGAATACAACTCTCCAAATTCATTAGGTATCAAAAGGATAATGCTCCGGGGTTTGCCTTAAGTTGCAGGAGTGTTTCTGTGAAGGAGAAATCTTCCTTAGTGCAGGGGCTGAGGGGTTCCCCCTCTCCATGACAGATTCCTTCAAATCCACCACACACACCCTACCCATTCTGTCAGCCTTTCCTTCAAAAACTTCAATAATTAAAAAAGAAATCCAAGCAAAGCAACTTCAGCAAAACAAAATCTTTGCAGAGTCAAAGCTGGAAAGCATTACCCCAAGGAGGAAAGATGCACAAAAGGAGCAAAAGAGGAGCAAAAAATGAGCACAACAATTCATTCTTGTGCCTTGGAGAGGTTCRTGCCCTCACTCTGCAGACACTTTCTCACCCAATACCTGCCAGGACAACAAGACTCTCCAACTGCTCTCCTATCCAAAGGCAGAACAAGCTTCCATCTTCCCCTATCTGCCCAAAAGCACCTGGTACAGCTCTTCTGACAATTTAAGCAGTGCTCTTCTTTCCTAAGCATTAATTTACTCCAGAAAATAACTTCCTACTGCCACCCCACCTCATTCCCTGCAGGGCTGTCTGCTAGATGAGACTAAATTGGAGAGGCACACAGTGTTTCCACTTCTTTCTCAAAAGAAAAATTTCTGAGCTTTCTGAGCACCGAATTCAGAGGTGAAGAGCTGATGTGCTGAAAAAYACAAAACAAAGCTGCTTTTCCTAGACTCAAGGATAGAGCTGAAGATTCCATGGCTAAGCCAAAACCTTTTGAGCTGAGTCAACTGCAGCGACCCCAAGAGTCACCAAGGCAGGGAAATATCAGAGAATGATTAGAGCTGGGAGCTAAAAAAATAACCCAGTTCAACACCCTGGCATTGGGGAAGGGATACCTTCCACCAGACCTAGATATGACATTTATTTTTTACCTTATAAGCCCAGTCAGGTTTGCTGTTGTTGTTTAAGGTGCTTGATTTCAGGACTAGGATGAACCAGCTGATCCGCCATGGGAAGCACCAGACAAGAAGCTGGGTATATTTCCTGATTTCTTACATTCTTCTCATTTTTACATTTACCTTGAACAACAAACCCCTGCCATGCCATCCTCCCATTATTAAATTCCTGTGGGCACCACATCTCCTATCCAATAACCCATTTTGACTCTCTTGTT